CATATTACCAACTGATTCAACAAAAGAAAAATTCATCAGAAAGATCTCCAATTTTATACCTGGGTTCCGAAACATGACAGGCTGTATGTTGGGCTGGGTATTTGAGCCTCGAAGCTGATGCAAAGGTAGGAGCTGGACAATCTGCCCATTGGGGTGCCTAAATAAGTTCATTCCACTTGGACTCCTAACAGGCTGCAAGACCATCCGATGTCCCTGAAGCTGTGTGTTTGGGACAGCTCTAAGAGTAGGAGAACCCTGCTGCACTGGAATCAGTAACAACCGAGGTCCAGGACGTTTCACTGTGTTAGGAGGGACCTGTGGAGCAGCCACTGGAAATTGAGGGGCATTTTCTGAAAAACAGGAAATGAAAACATAGTATCAAAATTCCCCTTTAACACATTTAAGAAAAAATCTATTAAGACATAGGCTCTATGCTGTAAGTAACTTCTAATTTGAATTACAAAGTTGGTGAAATCTTGTACCTCTATAATGCATTACTTATGACTGATAACAATTTATTTTAAACCCTAGTAATCAGCCAGACATTGTGGAGCTTTACATTTAGAATGGTAAAAAAGAAACCATCAATTGTCAAGGTACATTTAAAGAGATAATGCCTGAAAAACAGGTAGGCCTCTAAATCCGGACTCTTGTTAAAGTTAAAGGGATCATTTATAAGATTCTCTTCTTCAACTTAAAACTTAAGGCTGGTAACCCTTATTAGACTTCTGATTGAGTTTCACAGCTTATACTCAAGAAAGAGAAAGTCAAGGACCAACAATCCTTGGTATAAAAGGCTTCTTGGCTTTTGAAATTAAAATTCACTAACAAATAAGCAAAGCTTAAAGATTAGTGGAAATTATTTTTCAAAAGGAAAAAAATACATACCCCCTAAAAATGGAATGAAATTAAGAGACATCAAAGAAGCAGGGAAATAAAGCCTGGTTAGGAAGAGGCAAGAGATAGTTTTAAAACAAATAGAAAAAGCAGAAATTTAATGCAGAAGATGTGAATTCAAAGAGATTTCAAACCATTAATAGTAACTAAAGATGCATTTTAAGGATTGGAAGACAGATTTAGAAATACTAGGACAAAGGAAAAAAATAACATGAGTAATGTATTATAGATAGATTTTGTTTGGATCATAGGGATAAAGAGGTAGAAATAATGACAATAGTAAGCATAAATGAAACTAGTCTAACATTACCATTCAAATTAGTAAACTTATTTAACATGCTGTTGTTGTTTTTTAGACA